TATTTTCATTAAATTAAGTTTCTATGACAAATAAACTATTGCTTAAAAACCCTTTCCCAACATAATCACCATTTCGAGAAAGTACAAGTTTATCTGCCTCAAAAACTAACTTACTGTCTACCTTATTCAGAAGCCCACCACTTATCAAATTTCTACGCAAGGCAGGTAAATACAAAACATTATTTAAAGCCAGAGTTTTACCAGAGGTCAGCTTGAGTAAAACCTTGCCTTTGCCTAGCACCTCATAGCTGCTAGAGTTCCCCATGTACACACATTCACCTACGTTCCCATCATCGAATTCGGTGAAAAAATCCTTCCTTGCGTAGAAATGCTTTGAAGCGCCAGTATCAACAACCCATTCCGAACTGTTTTCCACCAGATTGACTTCTGAGACCACCGCAACAATGATCTCATCATATTCTTTTACAACGTGCATCTGTGGCTTGTTTTTATTCTGGCGGTCTGAGCGGTGTTGGTATTGGTAAGCTTTCTAGCCGGGTAAACCACAGACATAGCACTTGAGCGTCTTTCCTTCAGGTTTGGCCTTTCCTGACTTCTTGAAGTTGGTAGCCTTATGAGGTTTCGTCTTCTTGTCTTGATTCCCACGTTTCATGATCTTCTTAAATTTAGACTCAACCAAGTTAGCTCTAAAAGATAAATTACTCATAGAATTAGTAAGCTTATCTTTTAAACGGTTGGCTTCTTCAATCTTCATATGGCCCACGAGCTCTTCAAGCAAAGTTTCTCTCTTCTTATGCTTAAGAGAGTTGCGGTAGTCAAACCAAGACTTAGGCAACTTCTCAATGAGAACATTGGCTTGCAACACCTCGCACATTTGCATCCCTTCGGCGATGATGTCAGCAACTAGATTCTCATAGTTATGGACTTGATCCATTATCGGCTTGTCATCAGTCATCTAAAATTTGAGCCATTCGCCGACAACGTACTTCTTGATGCCAGTATCGTCCGCACTATACTTTTTTATCGAGAGTATCCCAAATTGCCTTGGCACTCCTTTCTCTAAGGAACATATCAAATAATTTATTTGACATGTGACTGAGCAAATGTCCTCGCACTGTTTTGTTGTCTTTCTCGTACTTCTCGTGGGTAGCGAGTGCATCAGCGGCAGTTGCTAGGGCATTATCATTGAGGACCGCATCAGCATCATTACCGGTAGCTGGGGTTGGCGGCATGGTAGGTGGTGGCTTGAACAACACGTAGTCAATATCAAGTTGCTCGAAGAATATCAGGATTCTTTGAGACCACCTTCTATAATTTTTTCCATCAAGTGCATCGAGCTTGGAAAGATCGGGTATCAGTTTGCTCAAAGGTGTTGACATGATTGCAGTATATAGAATTCGTTTCTAAATTGTTGGTAAAATAGACTGCAAAACTACACCGTTAGCACTGACTGGAAATATAAACAGTAATTAAAAGGAACAGATTCGTAAACCGTGTCATGGTATAACCACTGCCTTAGAAACGAATTCGCCCCGATATGTGTAACGCTGCAGTAGACGGACCGTCCCCTGAGGTTAACACGGTCGCTACGAATTCCGTACACCCGAAATCGGAGTGGACTGCCGGTGGTATTGCTCTTCTTATCGGAAAACACACAGAGAAAATATTTAGAAAACACTTGGAGAGTGAATTCTGAATGTTGAGAGTAAGTTGAGAAGCTGAATATAGCTCTCTATTTATAGGCTAGAAATAGGGTTAAAATCGTCCATAAAATTTTAGGATTAAATCTCTTCTTTGTAACAGCTGAAACGTCTAGATGAACCTGACTCAGAAATAGTTCAGGTTCATTGCATCATTATTCAGCTGTTATAACTCCAGAAATTATATCATGTAACTCCTGGAATTAAATCAAATAACTCATGTAACTCCTGTTATTCACAGCTTGTCCCCTTTGTACAAAGCTGGAAATCAATCCATATACATCTTAACGTTTTTGATTTAATTTAGGAAAAGCTGTTTAATTTCTGATAACTCTCATAAACCAGCTGTTATCATTTAAATTTAAACAATCCTCAACAGGCTATAAATATCAGTTGAAATCTTTCACATTTTTCCATTTGTTTCTTTCAAAGAGAAATTCCTCAAGAATTTTCTCTAAAAAGATAGTATCCGCGCGGACGTGTCGAAGACACGTATTACCACAACCACGACCACGAGACGAGACGGACAGTGGCGGAGGCGGTGTGCGAGAGTCCCCCTTGTTCTCTTTCACTCAACAAGGAAGTGGGAAATCCAAACCATAAATACCCATTCCCAATAGTATTTCCAATACTATGTGGGATTGATCATTACCAACAATAACATTACTCATTGTGCTTAAGTTGGTGGGGTTTCTAGCACTCTCTTGAGCTAGTACATCACAAAAGACTGGGTGAGTGATAAAACCATCACGTCTGCAGTACCAGTAAAATGACAAAGCCAACTTTGATTAATAGGGCTTAAAGTTAAAAGAGGTGAAATTAACAGTTGTAGTTAACAAATGCATGGCGATAGAGGACTTTATTTTCACCATCTTTTCAATATTTTAACAGAAAATAAGGGCAAAATCTCTTGGTTTAATCTGAAAATGAAGAATGAATGAATTCAAGGTTGAATTTCCATTTTGAGGAATGGATGTTTGATAAATGAAGCGTAGGAAGTATTTCCCGTTTTTAAACATACATGTATTTGTTATGCAAATAGAATAATAAGAAGAAGAAGATAGAAGAAAGAAGAAGAGGAATAAGAAAGAAAAAATAAGAAAAAAGAAAGAAAAAATAAGAAAAAAGAAAGAAGAAGACCGGGGGTGTTTTAACGGAGTTAACGTGCCACGCCAGCTAAAACTAACGGTGGGTAACGTCAGGGACCTTACTGGAAATGAATTAAAAGTTTAGTGACTATATTGCAAGTTTAAAAAGTTAGGTGACCATAATGCAAGCTCCCTAAAAGTATAGGGACTATTTATATACTTTACCCATAAAATTATGCTGCAAATACTAGTTGTTATGGGCCCAGACCTCGGTATGGTTGATGAAGATGAGTGTATGGCTATGCTTCACTCACTCAAATCTTGAAGTCACAGCTCTTAATCAAATTAGGCATTGCAATAATACAATTGCTAGAATGGTCTGGAAATATATAGATTTTGCATATATGTATAAATGGTTCGAACTTATGTATGATACTGATACACTTAAAATTTATCTAAATCTGATTTTGCACTAAGTAGCATTAAGCAAAATAGTTTAAAGAGTTATACAAAAATCAGAACTCTAAATATAATATAGTTTAAATAAAAATCAAAACAATAATAGAGTTTACAGACTGACATACAAGTAAGTCGTATAAATATATATGTCTACTTATCTAAATCAAAAATTGTATTACGATAGAATGTACTAAAATCCTTCGATGATGGCGCCCTTTAGAAAATGTTCATAATCTATTAACATGTTAACAGAAAAGCATTCAAATACTAAAACTTTATAAATTTAATAATATACTTCTATTTTAATATACTTAATGTAGTTCATAAGTGTACAAATACAAACATAAACAAAAGGTACGAGTACAATAATATATCTTCCTTAACAATATATCAAGTATCTATATAATTTACTCAAGTATAAGAAATATCGTATTGCGAAATTCTCTTCCAACCTAAAAATATATTACTCCGTTACATTCGTTAATTTACTTTATACTAGTATTATCAATTATGGAGTTATTTTATGAATCTTGATTTTAATCGTATAATTATATTATTAATAATAATGTATCTGAATTTACATAGAAATCGAATAAAAATAAAACATAGTGTAATATAGTTAATATTGTCTCAAATAATCATATAAAAATATAACTTAAAACTATGGTAAAATTGCTCCAATAATATGTTAAAAAAATTTATTGGACTATATAAAGCGTAAATAAAATTATTTTTTCAGATGAAGTGCTTGTTATAGTATTTATGGGAAGTTATCTGGTTCATACAATGAATTTTGAAAGTTGCCTAATTATTTGACGGAAAAGACATTTGGATCACTCGAGGATTTATGGAGTGTTACAATTACATGCTATCCCTACCATTATGTATGCATGAAATATAAAGAAGACGTTTAAAAAATATTTTTTCATTTATTATACATAACCCTTTTTATCAAACATATTATTCAAATTTTTATTAATGTGTTAAATATAATATAATATTTATTTAAAAATAACTCTTAACCCTTTAATATTGAACGTTTAAACTCTTAGATTTATGATGTTCGAATCTATAACTTAAAAAAATTACAACAATTTATTTATCACCAAAATCGCTCCGTACAATTTTATTTCCTTTTCAGTTTTGAATTTGGAGATGGGTTTCCAAATGCTCAAATCCATTGATTTCAGCTTTGTTTATTGTTTCGTTATCTTATATTTATGATACATTTAATGTTATGCTTCTACAGTCGCAGTCCCACCGCCCATTCAAACCCCCATATCCACTCAATGGACCCACCAAATTTCACAAGTGGGACACCGATACCACCACAGTTCCAATAGCTCCAAAACTAACCCCACCCATTCATTGCCACGTGTCCATCCCTCTCATTTTCAGAACTTTCTATTTCCGCGTGTCATTCCATATTTTCTCTTACGTGGCAGCTGCTGGTGCCATCCAATCCACTCCACATCTCACCAGTCACCACTGCATTAACCATTTAGATAACAAAATTTTCCGATTTTCGTAAAAATTAATCCGATTCTAGTAAAAATCAACGAAAAGTGAAGACTTTATAAAGCAATAAAGTATTGTGTTTGTTCCTCTATAGGGAAAAAGAGTCAATGCATGTCCCAAGGAAGTTTCGTGGAGGTTGTAGAAGAATATCTTATTATCGCCTTAAATTAATATATGTTTTATTTATTATTAAGACCAAATTTTACATTGTCCCATCTAATTCTATAAAATCCATGCCATGCCGACCAAATGGAGGAGCAGTCATTGTCTTCAACCCATCTTACATTATATATATACACATTTATGTACTTAGCTTACAGCTTCTTCATATTGAAACACATATCGGAAAGTTGATCAAAGATGGGAGTGGAAGGCACCATTGAATACATCTCCGATTTGCTTAGCAGCGTCAAGAAGAAGAAAAAGAAGAAGCAAATCCAAACTGTGGCTCTCAAAATAAGGATGGATTGTGAAGGTTGTGCCCGTAAGGTCAAGAAGGTCCTCTCCGGCGTAAAGGGTAATCTTTATATATATATAATTGTTAACAACACATATATTCTACAAACACAGCCGCACAACTATTCGAACCGAGTCCTTAAAGAGAATATCATTGTGGTTCATCAACTTAAACGTTTTGTTTTCTGTGTTTTTTCTTAATGCTTTGTATTATTTTGTTTTTGGTAGGGGCGAAGTCCGTGGACGTGGACTTGAAGCAACAGAAGGCAACCGTGACGGGTTACGTGGAGGCGAAGAAAGTGCTTGCGGCGGCACAGTCGACGAAGAAGAAGGTGGAGTTGTGGCCTTATGTGCCGTACACTCTGGTGGCCAATCCTTACGTGGCTCAAGCTTATGACAAGAAAGCACCGCGCAATCATGTGAGGAAGGTTCCTGATACGGCCACCGTGAGTGAGACCACCGTGGACGACCGCTATATCATCATGTTCAGTGATGAAAACCCTAATGCTTGCTCCATCATGTAAAAAAAAACCACAAATAAAACGATAGCAGTAATAAAGAGGATTGTAAAGTTTTAATTTGTTCCGTTGCAATATGAATGAGAAATGTTTGTGGTAAGATGCGAGCAAATGGGGAACCTTGTGGGCCGTTGTGCCACAATTATGTATTTGATGTATATAGCATTGTCTATATATTTGACCTTTTACATGAGAAGATTTATGGGGGAAAAGAACAAGCAACACTGAAGCTGTAGATTCGTGGCTAAATTTGAGTGGATGGGAAAGTAGGTCTACTTTGATTTAATAATATTTATAATAGAATATATAATATTCAAATTTAAATATTTTTACATTAAAAAATTAAATTTTTTAAATTAAGATATTTGTTGATGGGTTAAGTCAAGTTTGGATTACAAAAATATTTAACTTGCAAGTATATGGTCTAACCCCTAATTCATACAATCTTGGAAACCTTCTTTTTAATATTTAAAAGCCATTGTTATATTTTTAAATGTATTGTATGATTAAAATTAAATAATTAAAATACATATTTTTTGGTATAATCATTATAGAAGTATTACAAAATGAGTTTAGTTCAAGTCGGATTTATATACGAGATTAACATATTTTATATTTATCCAAGTCTGATCCAACTCAAAATATGAGCCTAATTTTTTAGGATTAACTAAAAATTAAGTGCCTAAATTATATTTTTTTATTTAGGTGTCAAAAGTTTTGTTGTGAAAGTAAGTGTTTAACGTTTTATTCTATTATCATTTTATATGGTCTAATTATCAACATATGTTTAAAAAAATATGTCACTCGCTCATTATTTGACATAAGACTTGATTTTTAATGTAAGTTAATTTTTTATTTAAAAATATAAAATATAAAATTTCTAAAAAAATCATTAACATTTCTAATTTCTCAAAAAAAAACTCTAAAAATCACGATATTAAAAAACCCCCCTAATCTCTAGATATCGTCTCCTCATCCTTTCGCTCAAGTCAGCGACATCTTTCAATACTTGATCATCACCCTCACCACCTTTCTCGTAACCCTCCTTGTCGTGATCAATTCGCCTCTCAACGCCTTTCAAAATCCTATCTTTCATTGTTCTTCCACGCCAGTTTGTTGAAGCAAAAACAGTCGATCACCATTTCATCTTTCAACAGTGCACTTAAATTAAAAGAATTAAAATCAGATTGTGTGTCAAGCACTCATTGGATGATAATATTTTTTAAGGACGTTGACGATTAGACCATGAAATGGCAACTGAATAAAATATCAGACACATACTTTGACAAAAAAAAACTTTAGATGTATTAAGAAAAAAAATAAAAAAATTAAGTACTTATTTTCAGTTAACTTTAAGGTGACGTTTGGTTCGCTGGAATGTTTCTGAGGGAATTGAAATATGTGAAGGAATTAGAATCTGTCATGAATTGTAATCCAATTCCATATTCTGTTTGGTTTGCAGGAAATTGAATTGGAATCCAATTCCATATTCTGTTTGGTTCGCAAACATGTCAGATGAATTTGATTTTAGTAATATAAAATGACAGGATTGTTCTTCTTGTTTTTTTGCTTAATTTTAGTTTGTTTTATAAATTACATGTAGCAATATATTATAAAAATTTAAAAATTTAAATTTAAATTTTATTGATTGATTATTCATTTCAATAAATTATAAAAATCATGCTAATAAACATCATAAGTTAAAATTATCCCAATTAGGGATGGTCATGGGTCGGGTTTTTGGTCCACCCGACCCGACCCGAGTACAAGGGAACCTCCATCCGAGACCCGACCATACCAAAATAAAGTTTCACCCGACGCGACCCTAATATATGAATTAGAAACCCGACCCGAAATAATAAAAAACAATATTTTTATTCAATAAAAAAGTGACTTAATTGGAAAAAATATATATAGAGTGGTATTATTGTAATTATTCCTAAATATATAAAGTAAAATTATATATTTTTTTGGTCGGGTCGGGTATTTTTCACCCTAAACCAGAACCTGACCCGAATATCACACTTAAAAAAAACCGACCCGACCAAAATAAAATTTCACCCGACCCTAATATATGAATTAAAAATCCGACCTGACCCGACCCGAAATAATAAAAAAATTATTTTTATTCAATAAAAACAGTGACTTAATTGAAAAAAAAATATATATAGAGGGGTATTATTGTAATTATTCCTAAATATATAAGGTAAAATTATATATATATTTTCGGGTCTGGTATTTTTCACCATAAACCTGAACTCGACCCGACCAAAATAAAGTTTCACCGGACCCGACCCGAATATATGAATTAGAAACCCGACCCGAAATAATAAAAAATATTTTTATTCAATATATGAATAAGTTACCAAAAGATTGATGAGGGTAGTATGGTCAAATTTCAATTCCCTCTAACAAGGGAATTGAATTTCATTTATTCTTGGATGAAATTCACTTTCCCTCATTTGATGGAAAGTTGAAGCCATGAGGGATTCTTCTCCCTTTCTTCGGTTGCAATCTCTTCTCCCTTTCTTTCTTTTATGTTCTCACGTTAACCACCTCCCATATATAACACTGACTGCCTCAATTATTTCACCAATAATTGTGCAATTCACGGGCTGAAATGGTTCACATGCATGCATAAATAATTGTTGCATGAAGCAGCTGATTTCACGCTGTTGCAGCCGAGAAAGAAAGAAAGAAAGGGAGAAAGGAAAGGAAGAAGAAGAAGAAAGAGAGAGATAAGGCTCTTGGGAGGTAAATTTTTATTATTTAAATTAGTTTATTATTATAATTTTTTAGTTTGTTAGTTTAGGGTTTAGGGTAAAACAAAAATCAGTTAATTAGTTTGTTAGTTTAGAGTTTAGGGCAAAACAAAAATCAGTTAATTAGTTTGTCAGTTTAGGGTTATATGATTGTTAGTTCAAGTTAAATATATTATACAGAAATAAAAAATTATTTTAGTTATATAGTTAAAAATAATTAATTAGTTTGTTTTGTTAGTCGTTAGTTATATAAAAAAATTATTTAATTAGTTTGTGTTAGTTAAATAGTTAAGTTATATTTGTTTGTTGAATTTATATTATATAAAAAATTAGTTAGTAAGTTTATTAGTAGTATATTATAATGAAAAAAATAGTTTATTAGTTTTAGTTATATAAAAGAATATTTTATTAGTTGTTTAAGGGTTTAGCTTTTACGTTTAACTTATATTTTAAAAAGTTTAGTTTGTTAGTTTATTATATTATAAGTTATTATATTAATTTTTTTGTTGTGTTGTAAATTAGTTAGTTAGTTAGTTTATATTAGATTATATTAAATGATTTTTTAAATATTGTTGTTTAATTTTTTTTACAGATTCATTCCAATGGCTGACCAAATTCCACTGCTGAGACTTGACAATGGACATATTTCAAGTCATTTTGGGAATAATGGTGAATAAAATATTTGTTTAATGAATTATAATTAATAAATATTTGATTATTATTTTATGGTTGTGATAAATTTTTTGAAATATTTAATTACATGAGGACGAGCAGCGAGTCCTTCGTCTTCGGCTACATAAAGTGCCCAAGCCACACCTATTGATAGAAGAAAACTTGCAAGAGGCTGGATTTTGGTATGTAACATTTGTGCGAGATTACAAGTTAGTCCCATGTTTGATCAGTGCGTTGATTGAACGTTGGAGACCAAAAACGCACACGTTTCATTTGCCGTGTGGCGAATGTACGATAACTCTGGAGGATGTGGCAATGCAACTCGGGGTCCAAACAAATGGGATACCTGTGGTAATTTCACATGAGTTTAATAATATGGCACAACTTTGCAGCTTGTTTCTTGGGAAAGCACCCGTACCACCAGAGTGTAGAGGGTGGCGTTTAAGGTTGTCATGGTTGAAGAATGAATTTCAGCTTCAACCAAATAGTACAGAGCACGAAATTATATATGCAACACGAGCATATATATTACAGTTGATTGTGGGAATTTTGATGCCTGATAAATCCGATAGTTATGTTCACACTCAGTATCTTCTTTTTTTAAGAAATTTTGAGAATAGTAGGCAATATAGCTGGAGATCGGCGATATTGGCGTTCTTGTATCGTGAGATGTGCAAGGAGTCATTAGTCATAAATGATAATAATACAGCAGAAATCGGTGGATGTCTGTTGCTGCTACAATCATGGGATTGGCATAGACTTTCGTTTTTGACACCGATTAGTCGAACTGCGGTTGACTTTCCACTTTCCAGAAGGTAATACGAATCCTCTATTTTAATATAAAATATTAATTATAAAATATTTATTTTGATTAAAATTATTGAACAAAATGGCCATATTTTTGTTTTGATTGATATACAGATGGATGCATAAAATTGAAGGCACGGGGTTGGTGTACAATAACATTAAAGAGTTCAGGCTAAAGATCGACATTAAGGCCAAAAAGAAGGTATGCATAATCTGTTATTTTTAATTATTATTTAAATTAACTATATTATTTGATTTAAATCAATTTTATTGTTTTTTAATTTTACAGTTTAATTGGAGACCATACATGAATGGAGAAATTTTGGTGTTGGTGCCGCACGATGTTTTAGATGAGTTTCAATATTGGTGTGCTGTTACACCATTGATCAATTTTGCTTTTGTTGAGATCCAATTTGGGGATAGAGTGCAGAGGCAATTCCACTTCCACCAACCTATTATGCGGAGTCTGTGGGATCATGACCTCCTCCAAAACATAGATGGTCGTCGTCAGGTGAATTGGGTTGAGACGCGTGACGACCTGCATAGATTTGATGGTCGCCGTAAAGAAAATGTTAATTGGGTTGAGAAGCATGCAACCTAAATTAATGCTTGGAACAATAGGGCTTCATTCATGCCAACTCTTGACGACATTCAAGACGACGACTTTAATTTTAAGGCTTCGGCTTACCTTGCTTATTTTTTGGATAATGGAAAGCCGTTCCTGAAAATAATGGTAGAGAGGCGATAATTTTTGAGGTTTAAGAAAAGATTTGGTAAAACTGAATACTCTCTACCGAGTGGGAGTTCATCTCAACAACCTGAAGCGGAAATGACCGATGTGGATAATAGCGCACCACAACCGTTCGGCGATGCAGGATCGTTGCATCACGCAGTTGATGATTCTAATGTCCTGGCATACATACCAAAGTTTGTGCAGCCTGAGGCACCTATCTAC